ATGTAAGTAGGAATTTAGAATGTACATTTGGTATCAGACATACTTCTGAGCCGCTTTACAAAGTAAGTTACGTGTAATGCAGAGCAGTCGCTCGGAGTAGTTCGGTGCTTGGAAATAACTTCGGCTGCACGTTATTTTGCAACTGACAACGTAATGTGTCTTCGGAGGTGTTCATTTTGCCCTTTACTAGTAGATGACATTGGCCATGATGAAAATTTTGGTACTAAAAACTGAAAGAAAACATGGCTTACCTCGCAAGGTGCTTACCTATTTTCCCAGTGGGATATACAAATGTAGATATGTATTTACATGTGTATGTGAGCACTGTGTCGATTTGCCGGCCGGCCAATGCACGCAACTAAACTGAGGACCAGTTGTTGTTTCAATTGTTTCTAATTAATAACTTTTGTTTGTATATTTTTCGCAGTGAACAAGCGTTTATGAATTGTTTTGTTTGCTTGTTGTGTTCAAACGAGGAATTCGGGCAAAGTGCAATAATAATAGTCGAATATACGCGAATTAGTGCATTAGCAAGATACCTTAATTCGCAAAGGCCCTAACCAATAAATTTTTTATTCTACAGGAGAAGCAAAAAACTATAAAAATCAAATTATGCATACATAGAGGGCGTTTTAAAAATGGCATAACTCCCTTTTTTTGGGACTGACCTTTCAAATTTTTAGTGAAATTGTATTTAATATATCCTACCAAAATCTGTGAAAAACCCAGTTTCGAAAAAAAAAGTGTTGGTTAGGGCCTTTGTGAATTAAGGTACTATTGCATACATTCCCTTTAGGAAATGCGAGTATTCAACCATGTTTTAAAAAAGCGTTCCGCAGAATGAAAGAAACATTCCTCTTTGTTGGACAATCGGGACGCACGATGTCATTGGGAGAAGGTATTCCCTTTCGCTGATTGCAGAAATTCTAGGGAAGCATAAATGTTCACTCTAAAGATTCTTTAATACTCTTTCGTTGTGAATGCCCTCTTTGAGTGTCAGGAAGATGTAAATCTGTCAAACGATTCATTATTCTTGGATGATCGAAATTTTCACTTCTGCTATCTCCCCCAAGCTATTCAAAAAGCATTTGGGATTATGCTGGAGACGCCTTGTCTGGAGAGCTGGGCATTGACATTAGAAGTGGTGAATCGATTCCTCTTTATCCCGATCCCGACAACTTTTGCAGAGAGAGCTTGTTGGTATACGCCATCGATGGACCATTAGTGTTATAGCACCGTGCAATGTGATGACGCCCTAACTGCAGATTGGTTTAGTGTCAATAGTTCCTTAGTACGACTCTTATTGAGTTTCGGCCACAAGGATTTTGAGATCTCACAGTCGTCCCGATTAATCCAGGTCATTGGTTGCGGCTGGGGTGTATTCTTCAATCCCCCTTAGCAGAGAATAAATCGGTTGAAATAGGGAGTTATTTGCTTTGCTAATTTGCATTTCCGAGCCGTGTCTAGCCATTTCATCGGCCATTTCGTTCCCTTCTATAACCCAGCAGAGACAGGTTTTTGGCGTGACTCAGTAAAGCCAGCGTTACACGACATTTCCGAACTACTTTCGACCTTACCATTCTGAAGCCTAATGTTTGAGACCAGCCACCTTCTCCATGGCAAATATCTCTGCCTGAAAAACGCTGCAGTTATCAGGCAGGAGCTATGATTGCCTTATTTAAAGGCCCTTGGAGTACAGACCCGAGTCAGGTCCTTTGTAAAAATCCATTTAAATTATGAAATTGTAAAATTTTAAAACTTCGTCGGAATTTCCTCAAGAAGTAATACGGCATATTTCCATTTTACTCCAAGTGGAAACTTTCCTTTTATCCAAGAGGGGTATATACGCATTTACAGGTATGTATGTATGGATGTATATATGTATGTACATATGCTTGCATATATGTATGCACTTGTAGTAAGCTTATACATATACATTTAGAAAGAAATTTAAATGAAAGCTGACAACTTGCATGTCAATGCTGGCCGTAATAAGTGGGTGGGGTGCCAACCATGAGTTAGTAGAAATTTCACGAACTCGCGCGAAAGTAAAAAATTTGCCGGTTAGGCTTAAACTGGCGTATTGAAGCTAAATATGTAGCCATCTAATAGCAGAGTCATTGTTTTACCGCAATATTGGCACACACGCACGCATATTTGAATACATACAGTATATTCGCTAATAGTTTGTGCAAACTAAATGGGGTACAAAAAGAGGGTAGGGAGCTAACTGAATGATACACAGAAACAATAAAAATTTTGAAAAAATATTTTACAGTGTTCTAAAGGCAGACAAACTTCATACTTAATGACTTATGCATATTATGGTCCCAAAGCTCACAAAGCTGCGATGCCATCTATGGGCCCGCAAATAAAATTTACTGATCCCACTGCGCAATGAAATGGTTTGACTCTAATTGAAATGAAGGAAGCAATTCAGTTGATCTCTCGTTTTGATTGCATGAAAGCATTTTTAATGCGATACGCACGCAAAAAGCCTCCATCAGACACTCCATCTTTTCCGGCAGTCAATAGGTTCTGTTTTTTCTATTCATGCATCATGATTGCCCCGATGAGTTATGAAAAATGTGTAAATTGTCTATGAACGATTTCACTTTACCAATTGCATACAAACACACACACACTTACGTATGTATGTATGTATGAACCGACAAACAACGAAATTGTCTCGCTTGGATGTCAATGAACAGCATTCAATGCTGGACTTTTTTGTAGTGGTTGTGAATTTCTGCTTTCTGTTATTTGTATAAATTTCAGCTTTCTGCTATTTGTATTAATTTATTTACCTTTTTGCTATGCTAA